CGGTGTGCCATGTTACCTCTCCAAGCCAACCATTTTTTTATTTTCTTACTTGGGATGGAAGCCCTTGATTAAGGTATCCGCCCCTGCCACCGGTTCAGAGGAGCGGTGGGAGTATGTAAGAATCCCGGTCAGAAAATGGTGCCCAGTAAAAACCCACATTACACGTGTCTCTGTTGCATCGGCCGGAGACACGAAGGCGCAATCTTCCGCGTACCTGGCGTCACTAGGGACTTTATAAGCCTCCTCTCTTGGGTTGCTAGTAAACTGGTCCTGATAAGTATACACACCCGGGATCGAACTCGGGTTGCTCGAATAATTGAACTAATAGCGAGCGCCCAGACACTGAGCTATCATGGCTCTATATCATAGCGTGTGTCATGACAAACGGTTTTTTATATGAGTTTAAATTTTCAAATGTATACTTATATACCGATTGACATGACTGTCATCGCAAATATCGAAATGTTTAGCCATAAAAAGAATAAGCATTGAAATCCTGAGATTACGAATATAGGTTTATTTATAAAGTAATCATAGGCTAAGAAAAGATTTTTGGAAATTTCAACTTTACGGGGTAATGGGAGAGGGAGCTTTGTGCGAACAAAGTTCTTTGAAATTAGAAATATGAAAATTTTTATTACAGCTACATAATATAAATAAATAATAAGGTATTTTGTATGGTTCATGGCATTAACGGGTGGTTAACATTTTGGAATTTCGGATTTTAAAGGGGTAACAAAATTGGAACCTATTCATCATAAATAAATAATATCGTGGATCTCAATTTTCTGTTCATAGATATTCAGGAAAGAAAATTACAGATGATTACTGAAAATTAAAGATAATTATGAGAAAATTACTGAAACTGAAGAAAATTACTGAAAATTAATGAATTTTTAGGAGATATTTTAAGTTTTAATGTTAATTATGCCATTTTTTTTAATAAGAATCACGCGTGTAAAGCCGTGGGCAATGGCTAGTCTTTCATTTTTCTTGCTGCAAAACTTAAACAGCCAATCTCTATTTATTCTTTTCACCAAGTCATCCGAATATAAATGAGTTTTATAATAGAATTGTATAAAAGTTTGTTCGTAGAAAAAGTGTAAAGTTTCTGACAAGGGGCTAAAACTTGGTTGTCCTTAATTATATTTAGATATAATTCGGCATTTTAAAGTGTATAATGGTAGTTACATGATGTGTGGACAAAACTAATAAGTATTTACTTCAAACAAAATATAGGTCAAATAAACAGGTTAAATAAGCCGTAACTATTTAAGCTTAATTATTACATTACTTAATTATTAAAATACTACAAAATATTAACTTATATGTCCAATTGACAAAATCGTTGTGGTAATTTCATTTGAGTTCCCTGAAGTCCACAAACCTAATGCTCCATCGCGCCCATTTGTCTGAAAGGTCGACTTGCAAAATTACTGATCCCAATGTGTGTATATAACTGATATGATCACTTAGATTGGAAGCCTACTATAAGACATTTTTTCAGTTTGATTAAACACTTAGATTTCTTTTTTATGGAAACCGATTTTTGAAACATGATTTATTTGAAAGCAGTGTTTATTGCCAATTATCCTTTGGGAATTTTGCGAGTTTGTGGTAGATTTTGACTTACACAGTTTGTAAAGTTTGGTATTTTTTCAGCAGAATGACTGATCCCAATATATGTGTAGATATATAATAAATTATATAATCATAGAGGGCACACGGAAGTGTACTTTAAAGAGTACCATTTTGAGCGTTCCAAATTTCAATTAACACTTTCCTTAGCAAAATCGCAAGATATGTTTATTCGTCATTGGCGAGCCGATTGGCTTAGCTTATAGGGAACCCGGGTATGTCCTGCGCCGGAGGGAGGTGGGAAACTATTGTTTGATGAACATAGTGATTTTCTAGTATCTGTAACTTTAGTAATTAATTATGTATGCTTTTACAAAATAAAACCTGTTTAAGTATATTTATCTGTTACCTAGAACACACGCTAAATGCTTTGCTTAGAAGTTGTATAAATGAACGTTGTGCAATCATATGTCCAGCAACATGTTTTTATCGCTATGAATTCGTTTAAAATGTCATTAAAAATTTAAGGCCAAAATTTTAGGGTATAGTGTTGCTCGTAAAAAACTGTTATTCGTATTGGTATTGTAGTTGCTTGTTGTGTGTAAAAAACATGTACATAATAAGTATGACCAAACCTTCAATCCACTTATTTTTTTAATGCCTTAATCGAAATTAATTTCTACGTTACAGTACAATTTTAATTACGTACACTAGCCGTAACTATATTTTGGTCACAGCTGATTATTATTATTGAATAAAGGAGAAAAAGTAGTCGAAAAGAAATGACACTTAAACCAAAGTTAAACAGAGATACCACGAATCATTTAAGAAGCAATCTCATAATAAATTAAAGTTTGTTTACGCATCCCATTTACTACCGTTTTCGTTTCGTTAAAAAACGTTTTTCAATAAAATAGATGACTATTAAAAATCCGTATCATATTTTTTTACGACTAAAGTAATATAAAGTTTTAGTAGCACAATCCACTGAAACTAAACATTAACTATGTGCTCAATCAGATATTCAGTTTACAACATAGCTACACGATCACGACTAAGCTGTTTCATATTCAAATTAATGTTTTACTCTCTATATACAGCGTGTCGTTACCATCGCGACAATAAATGAACACACGTCTAACGCTACGAGCCAATAATCATAAAAAAATATTAACGTTAAACAAAATGCATAATTAAAAAAAAAAAATTTTTCAAACAAACTAATTAAGTAAAAAAGAAACAAAATTTCTAACATCCTATACAACTCGCGCTACAGTGTCGTATTACAAGCCTCTCCTTCTAACAGTATGTTTTGTCTCTTTGAAATTCATTCAACCCATTCATATGCTTTGTGACCTTTACAAATGAACTTTACGATACGCTTTTATAGGTAGGGATGTTCTAAAATTCTTTATTTTGGAAAATTTAATAACTCTGTAAATATTGATGTTTAAAGAATTTAAACGTTTAATACAACTTTAAAAAGTTATACCCTATATGTGTGTTCATTTATTGTCGCGATGGTAACGACACGCTGTATAAATTTTCTGTATCTAGTTTATTAATCCATACTAATCCTTACTAATATTATAAAAGCGAAAGTTTGTGTATATGGATGGACGTTTGTTAAGCTTTCATGCAAATACTACTGAAAGGATTCTATTGAAACCTTACAATAATATAGCTTATACATCAGAATAAGACATAGGCTATAAATTATATACAAATTTTTATGTAAATATATTATATACATATTATATACATATTTTTATGTATATCTTTCTGTCTTAATGTTACGCAGGGCCAGATTTGAAAAAGAACATGAAAGGAAAAGGTGTTTTCTAGTCCTTACTAATATTATAAAGGCGAAAGTTTGTATGTATGGATGGATGTTTATTACTCTTTCACGCAAATACTACTGAATGGATTTTAATGAAACTTTACAATAATATAGCTTATACATGAAATTAAGACATAGGCTATAATTTACATAAATATTTTATCTATATCTGTCGTTCTGTCTGAATGCCTTCAGCCTATTCTACTACTTCTATTCTACGCAGACGTAGTCGCGGGCAGCAGCTAGTATGTATATAAATTATAGCCTATGACTTATTCTGCTGTATAAGCTATATTATTGTATAAGTTTCGTTAAAATTCATTCAGTAGTATTTGCGTGAAAGAGTAACAAACATCTATCCATACATATAAACTTTCGCGTTTATAATATTAGTAAGGACTAGCTATTAAACGCGGCTTCGCCCGCGTGGTCGAAGGGAGCAACAATGAGTTTTTTCATTATACACCAGAATAGTTCGCAGATGGCAGATTTTTCTCCTACTTACTTGATACTTATCGTTATATTTTGGACAATTCACACAAATATCTTTATTAATTATAGCCCATATCCTAGACTGATATATTAACTATATTATTGTAAAGTTTCATTAAAATCCATTCAGTAGTTTTTGCGTGAAAGAGTAACAAACATTCATCTTTTCATACAAACTTTCGCATTTATATTATTAATAAGGAAGTAAGGATATGTAAGGACTAGTAACGATTTTATGAATATCTGTCTTTCTGTCTGAATGTTACGCCTTCAGTTCATTCTACGCAGACGTAGTCGCGGGCAGCAGCTAGTATAGTACATTCGTGTTATGTAATGCATTATCATGTCACGTCATACGTCATCACGGTGTATTAGTAAACTAAGTAGTGTACAATAAGGCGAGTTCTGAGAGTGTTCCGAATTGTGACTTTGATTCATCTTGTATTTTATTTTTCTATTCTGTCGTATACACCAACAGTACTTGAACTATTTTCCAATCCATTTTTGAAAATCTCAAGGAATCAGTGAGATTATTTTTATCTTTTTAATTTAATTATTACTTTCTGCTGTAACATGAATTCATAACCACAATTACTACCTTAGACGTTTCTAAACGATAAAAAATTATCTAAGTTTTTAAAAACTCCTCAGCAAGTATTAAATTAACGTCTACAATCATATGTTCAAATACCTTCTATATTAAGTACTTTCAAGGCTGTTAAAAAATATATATATTGTACCGTCATTGTCTTACTTCTCAGTAACAAGTACCTACCTAATCAGTTAATTTCTTCGTAATGGTTCGATGATTTGAGTCAAGCGAAAAACCATTGCTTCCATTAGTAACAGATTCAAGGTTGGTGTAAATCTCTTGACTGTGACACGAACACTCAGTGTAGTGAATGACGCGAAAGTTACGATAAGTATGTATCGTTATAGAACGACATCTCTGATACGTTATCAGTGTGCCTTTTTCATACGTTAACTCTGTACCTTCAAAGCGTTATGCTAGAAATGTAGTTACGCGAGTGACAGTCGAAAATTCCCATTTCGATGATGTTGTGACGATCGTTATCTTGTGATTTTGAAAATGGCTCATCGGTTCACATTTCTTTGGGCGTTTTTGATTCTGCTGATGCGATGTAGCGAAGGTTCTATTCAAGGTATATATCACAATATTTATAGTAAAACAACCCCCCTGAAACTTTTTCGTATACCAAGAAATTTTAATATTACTAAATTATTAAAGTGCCTAATGCGTATATTTTCTTCATCCAATGGCAAACCACTAAGGCTTGTACGTCTTATTTATTTCCATTTATATTTAAAAAGAAGTGAAAGATAAGTTTTTGGCCCCCTTAATTTGGATTTATACTTATAATAGTTTCAATAATGTGTTTCTTTATGTTTTACAAAATTAAACAGTAAGAAATTTTATTTTTTTAAATTTTTTAATAACCTAATTTCTAAATAAAACCTAAAATAAAAAAAAATTCAACATAAAACATTCCATACTTACAATCAACTGAAAAATTTACCACAACGTTATCAATTGACATAAAAACAAAATTATCTTAGAGATTTATTCCGTTTCAGCACAATCATCTCTTGTTACCCCGTTATTTTTGCGCAGTATTTTCACTTACGCATAATTGAGGAAAGAATTTACACTTATCTCTGATAATTTCCACAGTTTATAATATCTTCATACTGTTTTATAGGATTACAGTACATTACATGATATTTACAATTTCCGCGTTTTTAAAGAGAAAGAAAGTCGAGAGAGATTGCTTAATGTACTCGTAGTTATGTATTTTTAAGTTTTAAATGTTTATTTATAACAATCTATAACCAAAAAATGCGAATATTCTTGAGAGAAATATTTTTTGTATACCTAAAAATTCGGCTAATTTAAGTCACATTCTATTTTACGAACTTTATCCTAAAGATAAAGCTACATTCAATAATTATTACTTTAAGTTAGCAAAATGCCGAGGATGTAATGTTCTTAGGAGGTTTAATAGAACATTCTTTCTAATTAACTACGTCCATTATGAATCAGTTATTTAAAAAAAGCTGGTGTAAGCTTTGTGGTTTACTCCTTATGTAATCTTTAATTTCCCTTTTCAGATAAATGCGCTGTAACATACTGTGTGGGTGAAGCCTACGTGTGTATAAACGATGAGTGCTATTGTGCCGAAGGATATATCCCCAACCACTTCCAGACTCGTTGCGTAAGATGTCCAGGTCTTGCTCTTTTAAAAATTTTGATAGAATTAAAAAAAATTAAATCGTTATCCTGTGATTTTGAAAACGGCTTATCGTTTCACGAAAAACTCACTTCTAGAACATCGTAGCTTAATAGGGAAAAACGGAGCTTTAGTAGGACGATTTACTTATATAACCTAAGCTTCTAAATCAATGCAATTAAAAACAAACTATTTATGTCACATATTTTGAAACTCATAAGTTAACTCCTCATAACTAATACTCACATCAACCAAGAGTCATTAAGTCTAGAAGCTATATTTCAAACTACCAGTAAACAGATAAAACTGAAAATTGTTAATTAGCTATTGGTGTTCATGTACCAAATAATGTAGTGGTAAAATTTCAGCAGCCCACTACTTTTATATAGCAAACAAAAGAAAAATTTAAACTATACAGACATATCACTTACGAATTAAGCAACAAGTAGAATTCGGTGTTTTTACAAAGAAAATCCACCATTTTACTATTGTCAACATTTTCACATTTAAAAACCTTGCGTAAAACACCGTCTTATCCACACTTAAAGGTTCATTTTTTTACAAGAATTTAATAATTATAATGTAACTTGTCCATTATTATCATAAATTTATAAAAATCACGTTTAAAACCATCAGCTTGAGTTACGTAAAGACGAATTTAATTTAAATCAGTTTATAATACACCATGGTAACATTAAGGGCTTTTAACAAAAAGATTTTATAAAATTTGTAATCGAGTTTCGAAATCGATATTAGCATATTGGCTGTATCATTATTTTTGATGCCTAATTGTATGTCAAATTTAAAACCAAAAGTATTTCCCGCTCATTTATATTAAACAAATATGTATATACCTACATTATTGTATTAGTCTAGTCTTATTTTTTAATAAAAATTTATTCCAATCGGAATCAAATCGATCAGTCACTTTTTAATTTTTTGCGTTATCATGAATTCTTGTAAAAAATTTGAATGTTTTAAGTGTGGAACAAGACAGTGTTTTACGGAAGGTTTTTAAATGTGAAAATGTTGACAATAGTAAAGTGGCGGATTTTCTTACGACTTACCTATTTTGTTTTATTTTATTTTTATATCAAGATTTTTTTCAGTCTTAAATGCAAACATTACCAAAACAGGTAAAAATACGAAAATTTCTATGCATTTCATTATGTATGTTTTATTAAAATTGAGGTAGTATTTCCAATAAAAATTAACAAATTTGTTTCGAATTAATGAAAAAAAAAGCCACCAGCAGTTTAATCATTTACCACCCATCGAGTAATATTTATTTTTATTTTTTATTTTATGTGTGAAAGGACAAACGCTTTTTTTGGAAAGGAGAAACGTTGTTTTTGTCTGCGTTTGAAACGCTTGTTTTAGATTCTCATTTCATTTTTTTCCACGTCTTAATACTGCTACTCCTTTGCAAGAAAAGCGGTCATAGCATTGAGTAATAACAATTGAGAGGCGGACGCGTGCACGAAGGGTTCGTACCCATCATCTATGAAAAGGCAAAAAAATTATATCTGTACTTTGGGAGCCGCACTTAAATATTTTTTTATTCTGTTTTTTAGTGTTTGTTGTTATAGCGGCAACAGATATTCATCATCTGAGAAACTGACTGACTGATTTCGACTGTCTAACTATAGCGGTTCATGAGATCCAGCCTAGTGACAGACGAACAGACATACAGACATCGGAGTCTTAGTAATAGGGTCTCGTTTTACCCTTTGGGTACGGCACTAATAAAATTCATTATGTATGTTTTATTAAAATTGAGGTAGTATTTCCAATAAAAATTAACAAATTTGTTTCGAATTAATGAAAAAAAAAGCCACCAGCAGTTTAATCATTTACCACCCATCGAGTAATATTTATTTTTATTTTTTATTTTATGTGTGAAAGGACAAACGCTTTTTTTGGAAAGGAGAAATGTTGTTTTTGTCTGCGTTTGAAACGCTTGTTTTAGATTCTCTCTCATTTCATTTTTTTCAACGTCTTAATACTGCTACTCCTTTGCAAGAAAAGCGGTCATAGCATTGAGTAATAACAATTGAGAGGCGGATCTGTGCACGAAGGGTTCGTACCCATCATCTATGAAAAGGCAAAAAAATTATATCTGTACTTTGGTCTTAGTAATACGGTCTCGTTTTACCCTTTGGGTACGGCACTAATAAAATTCAATATGTTCAAGGTTTGGGCGAGAAGTGTTTTGGTTCATGCTGTAACCAATACGGTAATGGCAGCCTCCAATGCAGGCAAGGCATCTGTCAACCGTGTTATGATTCCTTTGGCAACTGGATATGTCGGTGTGTGACAATTGTTTTACAATTTTATACTTCTACACACTATAACGCTTCATATTTATAAGATAATATCTTGCTTTCATTCATTTTCTTATTCATGATAATGTCTTTAACAGAGCGACAAATTAATAAAATACTTAGTAATCTAAATGAATCTTTGAATCAACCTTTTTAATTTATAAAGAAAATATCGTGCTAATTTCGAATTCTGCAGTGTTATAAACTTTTGAAGGAATTGTGTCGTAAAGGAATTGAAATTTATATTAAACGCAAAAATTAGAATTAACTTTAATTTAAAATTTTCTAATAACAATTGTGTAGAGCTAAGAGCTAACCTTTGCAAATTCACAGTGATTCTTTGGACCAAATGCTTCTGGTTTCAAGCACACAAATAATTATGGCAGCCGCTCTAATATTGGGAATAATTACTACTTTGATTCTGTTGTATCGACTTTGTGCTGCTACTGCAAACTTACAGTAAGTAAAAATATCAAGATTCATTAAAACAGGTAAATAAATCTATTGTAAAATATAAGAAAAAAATGACGGGCGTGAAGCGAGAGTGTTATACTTACTTTTAGTTATGAGAGTTAAGTTGTAGCTGTCTATGGGCAGTGACTTAAACTTAACTTCATATTTAATGAACCGCATGCTCGCTTACCAACTTCACTTGTTAAAAAAATCTTGATACTTTTTCTTTATGAAATATTTATGTTACATTCATTCATCTCGTATAAATAGACTTTAAAAACGGCTCTTGTGCCTTGCAGGCCCTTGGGGAGTCGTCAAAATTACGACAGTCGTCTTTCTATCGGAAGCTTACAGATATACGTCGAGGAAAGGTTAAGAGATGCCCCGCCGAGGTAATGAATTTAGTGTTTACTGTTGAAATAAATGTCTACAAGCCACAAATATAAATCATATTATGCTAAATAAAACAGCTTAAAACAGCTTAATAAAACTTTTAAAAAAATTCAGTAATTTAAAACATCACTAAAATCGTTTTAAGGTGTCCTAATGGTACAGGTTGGTTACACCATTACAGATATTCTAGAACGGCACCAGCTGGATCCGCCGTCTACCCAGCGACTGCGTATCTCAATGCTGGTTTTGTAAGTTACTTTGCTTTCAATTTACCTTATTAAACGCGTGCCAACTCTAAAAGATAAAGATAATTTTGCACATCATTACGATTTTCTTCAATTAAACGAACGTGAATTTATGCAAAAATGAAAGAAATGCTGCATTCAATATTTTACTGTTTAAGTACGGAACTCTAAAAAAAATATGCAAAGGTCCGGTTTTTGATTTGTTTTTCACACAGCTCTTCGCCCTATTATCATTCATCGGGCACGGATCACAGAAAAACTACAGTTTCCACAGTTGTTCAGATCTGCACGATGTCTGATTTTAATCACTTTGCGGTAAAACTAAAACAAAAAATAAAAATGGTATTGTAAGCAACAAATAACGTTAAAGATAAATTACTATGACTTAAAAGTCATATTATTAATATATTGATTTTTTGTGTTTATTTATTATTTTTAAAAGAACATGTTTAATAAAAGGCCTAAAAACTTAAGGGCGCTCGTCTACATTTAGAGGCTTGTTTTTATGGCACGTGTATATAAACCTATCAACAAAGCAGTGATTCAGGGAAGATAACAGTATTAATAGTATAATCTTAATTGTATAACAAGTAAATTACTTCAATCTTTATCTTATCTGCTTATAAATCTTAATTATATTTTATATGGTTATAGTCTTACTTTTATTTATTTCATTCTTTTAGACACACGATAGCAGCGTGCCGCCACCGCCCTACACTCCAAGCACGAAAACATGCGATATTCATGTCCCTACAATACACATTTAAAAAAAAGAAGTGCAAATTTTTTATTGTAAATATAGATGAAAAATGTTTATTTCAAATAGATACTTATAATAAAATATGTCGTAAGAAAGTCATTTTTTTTCCTTTACATCAAACCTTCCCGCTACATTAATAAATAACAGAACCATTATACCAATATCATACCCATATATTGTAAGTAAAATAAAATATAATGATACACATATCTCTAGTAGATTATCTAATTAAGTATTTACAATGAAGATAATAATTACCGTATCCGATAAATGAGCCTTAATAGCCATTTCCGAGGGGGGGGTCGAACCTAGTGGCGTTCTCCAATAAGTTGCCAATATTCAAGTATATAAAAGGGCAGGACCCTTTTTTTTAAAACATTGCTCTTACTATAGTTACATTATCCTGTGTTTTAAGAACGTTTTACATACATAAATTTCATTGACTAACATGCAGATCCGAAATAATTATCTGTGGGTCACACATATAATTGTCCCATGTGGGATTCGAAACCACGACCGCTGGTGCCGTGGCGCAGTTGCCAATACTCTGGCAACTGCGCCACGGAGTCGAATTCGAATCGTAAATGAGTCTGTCTTCATCTGGTAAAATATCGTAAATATTGTCGATGTTTAAATCCTTACATTTTGTTATTTAACCGGTGCTCAAAATAATTATATCTATACAGCTTTATGGATGTTGTTGGCAACGGCCCAAAAGTGTAGAACAAATGGGGCGGTCGCTCTAGGCGAAAGGTATCAAGGGGCGCTAATAATCAAATGAAAAAACTAATTTCACATGATATACAAATTTAACGGCGCCTTTTTAAAGACTCGAGGAAGCTTTAGTCCAATAAATAACAGATTTTATTATTGAGTGACTATTTGAAATTAACTAAAAAAAATTCAATTTATTTACCCACGTAGTAGTAGAAACTTTCTTAGGAGAAGGGGGTATAATAACTACAGATACTTGATTAAATTTAAATTCAATAATTGTTGATATTTGCAATAAATTGATTTGAAAAAAATATTTTTATTTTTTATTTAACATAAAGCAAAATTACACTTTATGCAAAGCGAAAGTAACGACTAAAGCGGTGAAAGATCTCGCCCTACCCTGATCAAAGGCTAAGGCCGGTAATGGATATTGACAATATTCGTCTTTTGGGTTTTGACTTATCATTAATTATGTCTTCTACCCTGTAGGCCCTATTTTATAGAATCATTTAAGTATTCCCTGCGTGTGGGTTACGTTACCTAAAAGAGGCTACGTTCACTAGGGTTCGGGTTAGGGATAACTGTAATCCATGAAGTGAACTGTGGCGTCTGCAACCCGAAATAGTCTCGACTTGCTGCAGAGCAGTTAAGGAGGATAGCTTCCTTGTTGTCTGCTTGTAGGTGAAATTTATTTTTATTTATTCAATATAACATTCTAAACAAGGCGATCACATAATTATAAAACTGTTGCAGAAGCAAATGAAGCGGTTCATTATTCAACAGAAATTTTAAACTCACTCGATTTGCCGAGGATTCCACCGCACGTACTACAATTGAAAACAAATGTGTCAGTAATTATCTTGCGAAATATTAAACAGCTAAACTTCGCAATGTTAGCGGCTTGCAGTAAAAAAAATCATGAGCAACGTCACAAAAGTGTTGCTTCTTGCTATCTTGACAAGAATTTTCAAAGGAGAAGTTTTCGTCATCGCTTGATCGCGTCATTCCTATAATTCTGAACTAATATGATTATGTCCTTTCAGTTCAAGATTGCAATTCCAAATTCGATTGGCATTCTATGTAATGGTAGTAATGAGTATAATTTGGTATTTTGATTATTCTTCGAGCCGGGCTTATAACGCAACGGAACTCTTTGGAACGCGCCTCAACCGAATGTGATTGGTCCACGACCGCGCCGCCATCGCAAGCTCCCACCGCGCCTGCGCGACTAGACCGTCGCCGGACCTCCATCTTTTTGCGGTTGATGTGTGACGCGTACGTTTAAAAAACAATTATTAAACTAGACGAACGAATATTACTGAGTTTGAGTTTTACTCCAAGGCAACCCACGAAATCACCACTTAATAACATTAAAGGCTTTAATTTTTAATCCAAGACTAGTGTCGTCTTTAGTGAAAATCACAATGTCAATACTTGTTTGGAATGATTCTATGGCACATATCATTTCATCGAGTTTGCCGAGTGCTTTTGTGTATTGTATGTTCTCTTGGTTTTAGTTTTTTTTTGGCTGGATGAGCCACTGTTGGCCTTTACAGATCCGACGGGCTTGAGGTGGCTGGGCGCTCGGGGCGCCTAGCCTGAACAAATTTTTTTTTTCTCTTATTTTATGACCTTTTATACAGCGTGTCGTTACCATTGCGACAATAAATGAACACAAGTCTAACGCTACTTGCCAATAATCATAAAAAAATATTAAAGTAAAAAAAATCCATAATTAAATATAAAATAATTTTCAAACAAACTAATTAAGTAAAAAAGAAACAAAATTTGTAACATGCTATACAACTCGCGCCACAGAGTCGCATTACAAACCTCTCCTTCTAACAGTATTTTTTGTCTCTTTTAAATTCATTCAACCCATTCATATGCTTTGTGACCTTTACAAATGAACTTTACGTTACAGTTTTATACGTAAGGGTGTTCTAAAATTCTTTGTTTTGGAAAATTTAATAACTCTGTAAATATTAATGTTAAAAGAATGTAAATTTTTGATACAATTTTAAAAAGTTAACCTCTATATGTGTGTTCATTTATTGTCGCGTTGGTAACGACACGCTGTATATTTGGTAATATCACTATCACCTTTTTTTTTCGAAACATAATTCTAATCGGAGTACAGAATACAGCAATACTAACTCATTTTTACTTTATTTTATCTTTCATACTTTCTTGTTATTGGCTTAAAGGTCCTTGATACCGGGCATTAAAATCCAAAAAAATCTTTCCTAGTATTGTGTCCGTCTGTTTTCAAGTGTTTTCCATTAATATGTCACTTTGACTTTTGACTTTTGTTTGTCATTCCATTAAAATTGACAAGTTCGAATTCGGACTAACTAACCAAAAAGATTGGCGAAATAAAGTTTTAAGTATTAACGGTTAACTATCCAAAATTTTCATTTGCTGAATGCTAAAAAATATTTTATAATTAAGGTTTTTGTCTTTCGTAAGTTATTTCTTATCTAAAATGGCTGACGAAGAAATAAATGGAGACACTGACGACATTCAGCATGACAAAGATAAAACTCAGAAAAAAACTGCCAAGCACGACAGTGGTGTAGCAGACTTAGAAAAAGTAACTGACTATGCTGAAGAAAAGGAAATTTCCTCTCAAGACATATCTGGCGTAAGTACTTAATATTAAATAAGATTGAGGTTAGGTTATAATAACAAACAACATTACCAGTACCAAAATATTTTATAATATTTATTTTAACCTATTCCATAGCTTTTATCGCGGGTTTTGAGCGCGGCGACCGAATCAAAAAATTCCGTAACGAAAATAAAACCTTAACTCCACCTACCATGTAGCTCGGCCGAGCATTCGCTTAACGTATATGGTACGACTGCACGAAGCTCGCACGGATGGATATTATAATATTATATTATAATGATATCATTTTTAGAGGACATCAAGTCTCAAACTTATGTTTCTTATTTCAGTTACCATAAACCTACAGTTTCAATGATAAAAATTCCTGAATAACCTACATATATTGTAAGATAATAAAAATATTTTAAACGATATTAACTTTTCGTTTATTCAATAAAAGAAAAAAATTGTATTCTTATCGGTCACCACACTCAAAATTTGAGTTGACTTGAATGAATATCAAATAAAAAACTTGAATTAATATTAAAGAAAAAAAATACTGCATAAATAAGAAATAAATAAATAATTATAAGTGCATAAGTTGATAAAAATGCTATGCAATAGCTTTACCACAGCAGTCCCCAAGTGCCACAGTCAGTTTTATTTATTATAATCACTTCAATGATACTACTTTTTTATAGAACTTATATACTCTTTTATACTACTTTTTGATAAAATTATTTTACTGAGTTCTAAAAAAGTTACTCTTGCTATTTCAGTTGTCAGGTCTTTTTTTTATTTAATACTTAGGAAATAAAATACTTTTTATTTTTAAATTAATAATATTTTCTACTTTTTCTGTTGCCACCATAAGGTATTAGTAGAAAATACCAGCAGGTTTAATTTTAACTAACATTATTTTTTTATGAACTCGACTAAATAATATTGCATGTTTAAATTATTTCAGTCTGTTATTTGTAATTTATTATTTTATATAAATAATTTCAGGCACTCTCACTTATCGGTGACAGAAGAAACAAGGAGACTGCTGAGCGATTGGAAAAAGAAAAAGAACTGCAAAAAGTATCAGTCAAAAAAGATGATATAGAATTGATTGTAAGTTCATTTATATGTGTCACATAGATAGGTATTTAATCGATATTTATGACAAACTACAATAGAATTTTATCCAAATTCTCATAATATTGATTAAACATAAGATCTTCTGTCCTTCCTAAAAAAGGGGCCAACTACTTAAAAAATCAAACATTTTTGTAAGAGAGAATGAGCCTTAATGGTGCATTGCAATATACATATAATAATACTCACATTATCTCAGTAATACACATTTTAGGTAATCATTTAAACAAACTCATACACTTACACAAAAAAAAATTAAATGTAGGTTTCAAGTAAAAGAGAGTGAGAATTAGTTAAACATATTTATAATAATTCTACTTAAACATTAAAATTAAAAACTAAATAATTATAAGTTATTTATAAAGGGATAAACTGAGCATATAATATAAACTAAAACTTAAAAAAAGACAGGTTGTGTGTTCACCTTAGCAACCAAGTATACCATTACATTCTCTTAAGTCGCATCCAGTCACATAACTGTGATAAGGTTATAACATGAGCTTCTATAAAATACCATGTCCTTAAAAATTATAGATGTAGATGGCCATAAATGTTTGTGGTTGACCAATATGTAATAAAAAAAGTTAAAAAAAAAGATGTTTATGTAAATTTTTATTTATTACACTTATTTTTATTGTATTGTAATGACATATATACTTTATTTTAACTATCATAAAAAAATATAAAATATAATAGGAATCGAAAAAAAAATGCTGAGGGTTGTAAGGGATTTTAAAATTTTGTAAAGTTAAATAGAATCTGTCTGTACACTCATTCTTTGGCCCATTAAATAAACAAGCAAAAAAAATTCTTACAATTACAAGTATTTAACACATTTAATTAAACTGTTTTGAAACTTTAATGACTTTATTTTTTATTTTAAGCCTTTGAGGTGTTTACCATAAAATACCCTGGGACCCAGGATTGGCTAGACCATTCTCTGAAAGAATAAACGGCGATAAAATCCTTAACCTAGTTTTAGAGTGCCATTTAAATGTAAGAAGTAAACAAATCTTGCAATTTAATTATAAGTTTGCCATCTAGTCTTTAATCAAAGCTAAAACAATTCTACTATTTCGCTAAATGAATTCTTCAAAATCAAGCCATTTTTTATTGATCATCTTAATCATCCTCTTTGGGTACAAAGTGAGACACTTGTGTGGGACGCACTCATGTGTGGCACATCCAAGTGTGGGACACCCATGTGTGGGACACACCCATGTGGGAATCGAATCCCCGCGACACGCAGTGCCTTAATCCAATAGCTTAGCAACTGCCCCACTGAGTTTACTTTGATTTCGATCCTTTCCAACCAACTTCAAACAAGTCAATTTATTATTAATCGATCAACAAAATCTACTTCAAATATCTCGCTCTGTATTCAATTCATAATAGATTTTCAGGAGATCCCTGCATATCTCCAGAGCCCAAGATTTTTCTTTACTGTATATTTATGTATACTGTTGAATTGTTTTTCGTACTTATATTGTAACGCTATTCATTTTTGGTGGGTCCTTGGGCAATTAGTTAACCATAATAATTAGTATTACACAAGTTAAATTATTTAATATTATTACGTAAAAATTCTCTGCACTAATAGACTATTTACTTTAAGTAATCTAGGTATGTGAAAAGAAACCATAACCATAATGAGCACATACCGATCAAATATTACGAATTATTTCATTGTTTATCAAAAATAAACTTATTCTTCTCTTCAGGTAAAAGAGATGGAAATCTCAAGACCATTAGCAGAAAGAACGCTTCGTGAACATAGAGGAGACGTGGTTGCGGCCCTTACTACACTCACTAACTGAAAGATATGTGATCGTTGTACGCTATGGTAAATTTACGCTCTTTACTGTCGTGACATATTTAAATAGAATCTTTTTTATGCCAGTATGTTGTTTTATTTAGAGTGTTATTTATACACAACATGCTTATTTGTGACATGAACCTAATAACTATACAACTGTACTAATTATTTATATATTTCTTTTATGTCAGGGGTGTCAGTCAGAGGGTGGCAAGCGAGCTGGTGGTTCACCTGGTGTTAAGTAATAATCGTCGACCAGAGATATTTGCAACACCTGTAGTGTTGCAGATGTATTGCAACCTTTTAATAAAGTGGACCTGGTTACCTCACTCACCAGACGAAAACACGAGTATAACTTTAAGGCCGGTCTTCTGTGAGGTCGTGGTACTTCCCCAGCCGGACCTGCCCATTCATATAACAGCCAAGACTACTGACTAGTCCTACCACAGTAAATCTTAAGCCACGTTTGTTACCCAGACCACAGGGTGAACGTGCAGGGAGCACCAGGACTTTCCACATTTGTGCGTTCCAAATCTCTACATCCAGGTCTCACATTTGGAACAAAAATAAGATCGATTAAACGTGCGTACAATTGACTACCACGAAAGCAATAATTATCTTGAAAAATTCATTTATTTTTTGTTTATTCAATAATGTAGGTATAGTAATAAATTAATTAAGTGTGCTCCAAAAATATAAACTTTTGTAGTTAAGGGAAATTGATGGTGCAGTGCTTGTCGTCGGTTCTTCTTAAACCGGTTTATCTAAGATTATTGCCACCAGGATACAGGCTGCGTTCTTTTGTTGCGTAGAGATGCAGTCCTGGGACGTGTGGCTTTGCAAGCTCCGCGTTTCTTCACAAATGTCCCATTTACTGGACGCTTTAGTTATTCAATCGGAAATAATACAATTACAAATCATTTGATTTTCAATGACTACGTCACCATCTTTTGATTTAATTGGTGACGAATTTTGATGAGTTTGCGGAAATAATTTAATAATTTCGTTACGTGATTCGTATATTTGTATAGGGATTTTTGCGTTACGAGTGATGAGGAATTTATTTCTAAGGTCTATGTTAGATCGATGATTCGTTAAGTATATCGAGACCTAATAATCCCTCGCAATAATTATGAAATTTGTATATGAATAACATAATATCCTTTTTTTCTCTTGGAGGGCATGGTAAAGTTATAGAGGAGTCATTTTTACTGGTAGTATAAACATATGTTACTTCAAATGGGTCATAATTTAACGGGATATGGTTTAAAAATTTACCTACAGCTTTGGGGTTAATAAACGATTGGTTAGTGCCCGTATCTATAAGAAATTTTAAAGACGGGATTACTAACTATACTATAATCGAGTTGCCTTTGAGTATGAAGATTAACTACCTATCTCTATTTTTCTAATTTTGGGTCGCTTCAAAAATCCTCATAATTTCCCAGGTTACTTTTGAACTCGACTTCCTCTGCAACTGGTGGACGAGGAGGTGGTTGCATGAATATAGGCGAGGGTTGCATGAGTGATTGTTTAGGAATATGAAATGGAATAGGTTTCGGGCTATAATAACTCAACCTACAAACTACAAACGGCGTAAATAAGCTAGAAGTGTTAAATTTTTGTACGGCGTTCGTTTAGCTTCGATGGTTGTGCAAATCTCTTCGTGTAATGTAATATTTATCATTATTGTAGCCTCTTTAGGCTTTGTACACGCTCATAAAATTCCTGCGGGGTGTCGGATCACCGTAAAAGGCGGTCTCGTCGCGGTGTTCGTCAAAGTTATTAATAAGAGCGCTTTTCATTCCGGCCCACGTTTCCGGAATTTCATTGGAGTTTATTATTCTAGCCGCGGGACCCGTTATTTTATTAAAAATTCCGGTAATTAAAGTCAAATTTGCAAATTCCGCGCCGCGCTCATTTTTTAAGAACGTACAAACAAACTGATCGCAAAGATTTATGAATCGTGGGAGAACATAAGTATTGCCGTCAAATTCGGAGAGACTTATAGATCAAATCGATATCAATCGATTGAGCTATATTGTTCTATATGCCTATATTCGTCAATTAGACCTGATATTCCTAATTCCCCTCGGATGGAAAATCTTGGAATCTTATTTAATTGCAAATATATAAAAAGATACAAGAAAAATAATACCTAGACATACAATAAAACAGTTAATAAAACGATTTTATAAAAATAAGGAAAAAGGTTAGGTAAGGATTGAAAGATTCAATCACTTACTGCATAACGCTTCGTTGCGGAATAGATGGCTGGATTTGTTTCTGGACTGATGCACCCGGTAGGTTCTGGATCTTCGGCGCCAATCTTGATTTACTGACTCTAAAGGATCCTACCGACTGCGCTAATTATGCGGGCTCCAGCCAGAGGTTGCAAAACAGTATTTTTTATTGAAATACATAATTTATTTTACTGTAAAATACTACATTTCCATTATTACTAAGAAAGATGACTAATTCGAAGTGCGAATAAAGAATGAAACTACGGTATGAATTACATTTTCGTAATGAGGTAATCGAAAGTAACTCGGAGTTTGTGGCCCGTTTCGCTCGTCGAATGTTCGATCATGTCAACCAACTCGTTCCACTCCATGCAAGTCCTTTTGACGGACGTCGGCTCCCGCGAGAACCCCTCTGCGGCAGTAAAGTGGCTATGGGGAGGGATTCTTTCATGAGCATCGGGACGCACTTCTCTTCAACATCCGAGGACCATGTCGTTGGTCGTAGACACTCTGCTGCTTACATAAGCCGCTGCTGCGGCTGAGCCTGGCTAATACCCAACAAACGGCTGACCATGTACTGGGTATGTAACCCCGAGGCTCGTAGCCAGACAGGCCACAAGCCTGCAATTCCATCATCACCGGACGTTTACAGTTTTACGTGTGAATAACGTGAGCACTGAGTCGTGGAGTGATATGTGGGTCGTGGAGCAGATTGATTGAAAAATTTATAGTCAAATATGTCTTGTGATAAAACAATAATTTTACCTTATTCTGTAATAACTGTAATTATAAATATTATGATAACAAAGGACAAAAGAGTTTAGGCCAAAAAAAGGGAAAAATAAGTGGATTTTAAACATAGGCGTATATAGCAGTGGGGCCGGGTGGGCCATAACCACCCTATAATCCTCTAGTGCCCACCCAAGGATTTTGGCTTATATTCCTTTATATATGTTGTTCATGGGTTAAAAGATGCCAAATAGTTTTATGTTACAGTCTCTATATAGGTTGAAACGCGAGGCATAAAATTTCCGTATTTAAAAAAAATGTACGTAACACAATGTGGTACTTTATTTCGTAATGTCACTTTAGTTTATTAATATCAAATTAATGTCAATGTCCCGCTTATCATCGTATATTTAACAAACTAGAAACTTAAAAATTTGTTCCCAGTATCTTTTATATCGTAAACAGGGATTTAGAACAAAGAAATAATTCAGAAAATTCGAATTATATGAGATGAACTTTTGTTTATAAATATTTCCTTCATCTTTATTTTATTCGAAACTAAAACAAGATGTTAAAAAGGTTTAAAGTTCCTTAAAGCGATATAATCGTGAATAAAACTTTGAAAGCTCGACATTATTGTTAGCACTAACAAAGAAAACGACTTTTGGTTAGAAATAATACCAAGGCGTTTATTTAGAATATATAACAATGACCGAAACTATATTTATCGACCATTGGAAATGTTCATCATCATCGTCATTTCAGCCTGTTTGAGTCCACTGCTGAACATAGGCCTCGCCACCTCACAGACTGCCACGACGATACCGAGCCTATCTAGTTATATATAACTCGTGAAAGTGTTCGTGTTCTGTGTATATAACTTACGATTGGAAATGCTCTGTTAATGTTGAAATTTTAATAGTCGTTTCCTTTCTATGAGAATAATGCACTTTAAAAAGTATTTTTATATCGTTACCTATAACTAAAGAATAAGTAAGTATATCAATTTTATACTTTATGTTGTGTTATTTTTTATATTTTGAGCAAGAATTTATGTTTTAGTAATTTTACAATAATCTGTTGAAAAGTGTCTATGGTTTGCTTTATGACTGTGTGAGGTGTGTTTGCATTGCGAGTATCTGCTTCTTTTGTTTTTATTTTTTTAATGGCAAATATATTTTTAAAGTAAAATTTAATTTTATAATAATCAATAAAATAAGTGTAATGATATAGCACCATTTCATCGAATTGGAGACTATTATTGGTAAGTAGACATCTATTACGTTAAACGTCAAACTATTAGATTTCCTACATGCGTCTACCCACTTGCTAGATTAAAAAATAGGATAATGGCCTTGATGTGCTCTTTTTTAATTCTGTGAACTTATCCATGATTATTTTTGATATTATGTGGTATAGAAAAATATTATTATTTTGATCTCAATTTATGACGTTAAATGCTAACCAACATGGAGTATTTGTGATTAACAGTGTAAACCTTACTCCCATATGATCGAATTACAAAATATATTCTGCCATTATATTTGACCAATACCAAAATGTATAGAACATACTTTTTTGCATTATAACATTTATTAAATGTCTTTCATAATAAGTTTTAAAAATATACAAATGTAACTGATACCATTAAAGTCTGCATAATTCGACTCTTCGGGTTTAAAAGCTTTTTAAGCATCATTTTATTCATAATTTATGGGATCTCATAAACTCACTCAGGAAATTCAGTCATTTGCTAATATCAAAAAATCATATTGTGTTAAGTAAACATCAATTAATGTTCAGATTTAAAATATATTGTAAGATGTAAACAATACAGAAACTATTACATAAATTAATCAACATTTTGCAATCTTCATTCATGAAACATATTTTTGCATTAAAAAAACAGTAGACATGGAAAAAAATTAGTAAGTAAAAACAATAATAAGGGACTTCATTAAACCTTTTATTACCAGAACATAACTAAACTAACATCTTTATTAAACCTTGATTATACATTACAGAATAGAATTAGGAAGTGAGAAAGCCTTTGTATTCTCATTATAACAATTCTTATGGTGGGTTCTATGAAGAGGTCTGTGGGGTTATGCAATATTTGATGAATTGTTTCACTTATACAGTGTATAACTGCTACAATAAATGAACACACATATAAAGGATAACTTTTTAAAATTGTACTAAACATTTACCTACATTATTTAAACAGCAATATTTACAGAGTTTTAAAATTTTTCATAACAAACAGTTTAAGAACACCCTTACGTATAAAACTGTAATATAAAGTTCATTTGTAAATGTCACAAAGCATATGAATGGGTTGAATGAATTTAAAAGAGATAAAAATTACTGTTAGAAGGAGAGATTTGTAATGTGACGCTGTGGCAACAAATGAAAAAGTCTCTGAATGTATGAATCAGTCAGTTGTAGTTTGTATAGGTGTTGCAAATTTTGTATCTTTTTTATTTAAGTAGTTTGTTTGAAAAATATTTTTTTAGATGGATTTTTTAATGTTTTTATTTTTTTTTTATGATTATTGACAAGTAGAGTTAGACATGTGTTCATTTATTGTTGCGGTTCTAATGACACACTGTATATTACATAATAAGGATTTATTAAAACAAAGAGAATCATTAAGAGTGGCATACTATTTTAACTTAAGGACATGGCTGTTTTATGGCATTGGTATGAGATGTAGTGTGTGTTCATTATGAAATTTCTTCATCATTGAATTTCTTTAAGTAGATAAAAATTGCTGTCAGTTATCCTTGTTTGCACTTTTTGGTTCATATATATATACTGTGGGATTATGCAGCACTTGCTTTTTTATATGCTGTATTTTTTTTCATTTGATGAGTGTTAAAAAAGACTACAATAACTTGAGGTAATTTTGTCCATTACTACCAAGACTTTCAAACATAAAATTTTTTTTGTTCAGTATAAATCATTAATAAAATAATCAAGAAGGAGTATTCTTTGGCAGTATTACTTATAGTTTTCGAGAAAAAAATATTTAAAACTTGTTATTTTACTAATTTGACTTCAAAAACTCAATACATAGTACTGACAACATGGTAAGTATAGGAAGCGGACGACATCTTTGTAAATCGTATTGATTGTAAAACAATGTATTTATTTATTTTTTTTAATTTAATGAATCACAGATCCGACACAGAGCAACCTGACTCGAATAGATAAGGTTAAAAGGTTAAGGAGGAGCAGTCCTCTCTCCTTAGCCGTTTTATCATGCAAAGGAAAGAAGAATGGGTGACATAATCGAGGATTTTTTTTGGCTCATGTTTTCAAAATCATGTTTTTGGGAAATAAAAAAAAGATAAAAAATAAAGAAAGCAATGATCTGGTGTAGAAAAAAAAGTAAAAAAAATAAGTGTGTAACTGATCGTGACACGAGCCGCGGCCTTCTGTTTCGGGGCCGCCCGATTTCCGACCGATCTATTATAATATTTTTTTTCGGCAAAATTTACCGTCATATTCGAATGATATTTTTCAATCCCTGAAAACAGGGATAAAAGAACATTTTCTAAAAATGAAACCGAGCTTGATCGATTTTTATATATACAGCGTGTCTTTACAATCAAGACAATAAATAAACACACATATAGAGGATAACTTTTTAAAATTGTATTAAACATTTACTTTATTTAAACATCAATATTTACACAGTTATTAAATTTTACAAAACAAAGAATTTTAGAACACCCTTACGTATAAAACTGTAACGTAAAGTTCATTTGTAAAGATCACAAAGCATATGAATGAATTTAAAAGAGACAAAACATACTGTTAGAAGGAGAGGCGTGTAATGCGACGCTGTGGCAACGAATGAAAAAGTCTCTGAATGTATGAATCAGTCAGTTTTAGTTGTATAGGGATGTTACAAATTTTGTTTCTTTTTAATTTAATTAGTTTGTTTGAAAAATATATTTTTTAATTATGGATTTTTTTAACGTTAATATTTTTTTATGATTATTGGCAAGTAGTGTTAGACGTGTGTTCATTTATTGTCGCGATGGTAACGACCCGCTGTATATACAAGAATTTTGCTCGTTTAAAGGTATTAGATAGATATGTGAACTGAGATAGCTACTGATATAATTCAATTCGGTTCTTTCACCAATACAAATACCTGCTCACTATCATGATTGTTCCATGACTATATGGACAAAGTTACCATCATGATTATATATTTTATATTACCTCTACATTACCTCAATACCATGAAAGTCTAATATTTGTTTTCATACCAAAGGAAAATCCCAATTACTACAATCACGAAAGCATTGTAAAAACTGTTGTGTTTGCGGGGTTCAATAGTGGTACACATAGCAGCCTTAGGAAAGTGAGATTAACTTGGAGCAAGTGCTTTAGTAATAATCTTTTATTAATATCCGCTGAAGGATGGATCTGGTTACGAACTTCGCGGTTGTTGGACAATTTTGTTAAGCTCTCGTTTGTATGTATTGTGGTCTTGACTTTGTGGTTCTGATGCGCGATTTCGTCCTTGGCTGTGGTAGGGCCACGTAGCAGTCTATATTTCTTGCACGAATACGGTAGGCACGAGGTGAAGAAGGAAGAAAAAGGAAGAAACGCAAAACGATAAAAGTAGTGGCTTTTACCTTTTGCGTTTCATCTCGTGAGTGAGGTAACCAGGATCACATGCGTTGCCACCATTATTAAATGATAAAAGTCTACGGGTGTTGTAGATGTGTGCGGCGTCTATCACAGCCATACAGTTGTAGTTCCTGATGCACTAAATGGTTTCGGAAAAATA